GGGGGTAGATTATGAAAAGAGAAGGTACTAGCACCTTTTTCATCCATGGTTTTCCATGGGCTCTTAGTTACTTGTTTTAGATCACTTGCTTTGCTTTTTCAATTGTTTGAAATGGTGCTTTGTGTGGTTTTGAAAGTATTTTGAAAAGAGGCCATCGTTTAGGCAATCTTTGTAATGATTCTTGTTTGTAAGAATGCATACAAAGATGTTTGTCTTTTGAAAAATGTTTCAATGTTTTGAAAGTTGTTTGGAAATTGTTTTGAAATGTGTGTGTGTTTGTTTGAAAATAGCAAGGATTGTTTGAAAGAGATCAAGTAACTAGGAGTTATCTACCCTACTCAAAAGTCTTTCCTACACATTTTTATTCCTTTGACATTGTTAACCTACTATTTTTTTAGTAGATAACCCTATCTTTGGATGTTAAACGGGATGTGCGTGGGTCATCGTATGACCATGATAACAATATTGCCAAGTATCTTAGCAAGTTTTGAGGGACTTAAGATCATTTGTTTTAGGCAACTTGTCTAGCGTCATCGAGGGACTATGATCTTTTTGTTTATATTGTTTTGCCAAGATACCTAGCATGCATACCATGGCCATGTTTTAAGGCAACCAAGTGGATGAAACCCTAGGGGTGCTTGTGTGAGATGTGTTGTCATTTTTCATGCATTTTTGTCTTGAATTAGGTCATGCTTGTTTGATTTTTGTCTTATCATACAAACCCTAACTTACTAAACATGCATATAATACGATAAATTGCGTAAAGTAAATCTAAACTATTACAACAATATTATGGGAGAGGGGGTACAAGTTTTGAATGGGGAGATATTTGCACAAAATAAAACCCTAATTTACTATTACAACCCAATTGAATTTATTATACAATAAATAAATAAACCATTATTTAAATATGCAATAAAAATGTAAATATGCAAAATGTTTTTGTAATTGTTTTATGTATGAGAAAAAATAAATTATTTAAGTCTAAAAATAAGAAAAAATATTGTGATTATTTTTGAAAGAGTGACAAACCCTAATTTTTTGTTTAAAAGAAAATATATTCTATATTATTCATTTTATTCATTTTTGTTTAAGAAAAATAATAAAAATATGTACAAAATGTTAAAAAAAATTAAAATATGCATGAAAATAATATTTTAAGTGTATGAATAATAAAAATAAAAATATGTGATATTTTTAAATTATTTACAAGTTATTTTAATAAAATGATTTCTTATTAACTAAAATAAAACTATTTTTATATGCAAAAATAAGATAAAAAATAAAATAAAATGCAAAAAATTAAGAAAATATTTTTGGGATTTTTTAATGTTCAGAAAAAAAAAGTCAAAAATATAAAAAGAAATGAAAAATATGCAAAATATAGAAAATGGTCCAAGGGGGTGCAAAAAGGAAATAGGGGGATGCAAAAAGAAACAGGCCCAAGGCGCCCAGGCCCAAGACAGCTTCATCCCTGTCCTCTGTCCACTTCCAAACACACGTTATGTGCTTCAACCTGTATCTCTTGCATACGTGCATAAAAACAAAATCTTGCAACATGAAACTTGTAGCATGTTAACTCACGATTCCAATGATATAAAAATCGTGACCTAACTCTCAAAGATCAGGGAGAATTTTATCACCCGTAATTTCTGACCTAAAATTTTCATGAACTTCAAGCTTCAAATTCTCACTACTCAGTTAATATAAATAAAAACTATGCATATGTACAATTCAAGCACGTTAAGGACTACATATTTGCTTCACAAACCTAAGCCTAAGGATGCCTAAATAGAGAGATAGAAACTTGACAAATACCTTGCTCAGTTAAGTTTGGATATGGAAATGTGAGAACTTTGAGTGAGGCCTGAAGTTCTTGTGAGCTTCCTTGAAGTCCCCTCAACCTTTTCCAATGCTTAGCTGGTCTTGTAGATGGCTAAAACTCCTTGCACGAGTCAACCTGCAACCTTGCAAAATGAAAATGGAGAAGTGTGAAACTGAGCTTATGGAATGTGTTTGAAGTGATTCCAAGCAAAACGCACGAGGCAATATGGAAATGGCTTGTGATTTGCAGAGATTGCCCTGTTTGGGCAGAAAATGGTGTTTTTTGTGTTTGAGAGAGTTTCCAATGCTATGAGCTCGTGTATTGGCTTGTTACAAGGTTCTGAGGTTGTTTTAAAAGAGTCGAAAGCTTGCCTTTATCAGATACACCAAGTTGTCTTGACTTTTTCCAAATTGCTTGCTTTTGAAGAAAAGTTGGAAGTGACAATGCCAAAGCCTGTACAGGCTTGCTTGCTAGCTGCACATAGTTGGTACAAGTTGCCTGATATTTGTGGATATTGTTTGCAGCAAAAGATTAGGTCCATGGCTCAAGATTTGCAAAGTTGCATAAAGCATGCTTTATCAAAGTAGCAATGTGAACTTTATGCCATAAATAGATTAATTCAATGTACAAAGCTCCATAGATCAGAACAAGACCATTATCCATTGTGTTTGCATTAAATTATAGAGTGTAGAAGGGATTAGGACCTGTAAAACCAAGTACAATCATGTTTGAAACTGATTTGCAACTTGTAACATTTGAGAAAATGCCTTGGACAAAAGTGATAAATGGTCATTTTCATTTCTTCGATTCTCCTTAACCATAAATGATCTTGGAGAGTTTTTGGACATTTTGGAAAGCTTGTAACATGCTCTACAATCCATATTTTAAATTCATTTTAATATTCCTCTTGGAACTAGGTGAAAAGTTGCCATGAAGTTAGGTAAAAAATCTGCCTAAACTAGGGCAAAATTTCACTAAGTTAAAAAGTTTATGGACCCTTATTCACAAAATCATAACTTGAGATCCAAGCATCTTTTGGGAAAACTTTGTGAATTAAAGTTGTAGATTTCATGGAGGACTACAACTTTCATGTTAGAATTTTTGTTTTAATCCCATTGCATTATGGTGAAAAAGTTGTGGAAAGTTGGGAAAAAATAAGAAATTTCCATAACTTAGAAAAATTCTAAGTTATGAAAAATTTCAAATTAAAACCGTAATTTTCAAATTTAGGTTTCTTGATCAACAAGTTTCACATTTTGACATATCTTGATGAATTATGACCCTTGGCACTTGATTTTGACCAAAAAGTCAAAGTTTGACTTTTCAGTGTACAGTTGATTTTTGATCAGTTGACTGCAAAATTTATCTGTCAATCCTATGCATTTGAGATCTTTTGAACTATTTTATTAGGTCAAGATGATGCCATTGAGTCCTTGAAATCATGCTTGAACCAATTGGCCATTGGCTAGGTCAAAAATCAGAAATTGCCCTTTCCCAGTCAAAAACCCTAATTTTGACCATTTTGCCCTTTTGATGATCTGATCAAATTTCTTGAGGAGTTGTGGTCCAAACTTGATCAAATGGTACATAGGAGCCTAGAATGTTGTTATGGATCAAAAATTATGAAGTTTGACTGTAAATTGGCCATGGTTGACTTTTTCCCCAATACAGTTGATTTTTAGGTCAACTGTCCAATTGACTGGGCAAAAATGTGATTCAAGGCTTGAAACTTGGTATGAGCAATCTTAGGATCCCAAGATGGTGTGAAAGCCACATTAAGCATTGATGGTCCAAAATTCCTTGTGCAAACTCAAACCCTAATTTCAGGTCATCAGTGCAAGATGAGGTCTTGAGCAGAGCAAACCCTAATCTGTCTTGAGTCCAAAGAGTCTTGTGAGGAAAATCTTGATAATATGAGAGGGCAAATTTTGGGGTACAACAGTTGGGAATTAAGGTGGTTGAGAAACCCAATTGCCCTGATCGTTTGTTGTGGATGGTGGAGGATTTGAAACATAAGTGCGCTAGCAAAAGAGCAGGTATAATCTGGATGGCGGTTTGTTGATGTATATGAAAACAATGTAATAAAATACTTTTCAATAACACTGGGTGATATAGACGAAATATGGCATAACTTAAAGATATATTCGTGGTGGTGGCTGGCTATCGGTACGAAGGAGAAGGTGTCTTGTAATTTCTATGAATGATCTAAATGACCTCTAAATTTTTTATAATTCTGATTTGTTTTAGTTGTTGGTCTTTTGGCCTTCTTTATTTGGAATTGGAGTACTCTCTTTCTACTCTATTTTTGAATGCAGTGTTGATTATTAAAAAAAAAAAATAGACTAGCTGCAAAAAAATTATTAAAAAAGAGAAGACTTAAATTTTATGTAAGTGAAACAATCCATTTATTGGTGAGAAACGCAAATAAATAGACAAGACTCACAATTAATTATTAAAAAAATAAAACATTTGAATTCAAGAATAATTATAATTTTAATTATTTTTTAATATAATTTCTAATTCAATCTAATGAATCCAATGGCCACTAAATAGCTGCAAACAAGGTTCCTAATTGGCTTATTTAAAGTGTAATCGACGTAAAGATTGAAGTATTAATACAAGTTGTTGATACAAGATTATTTTGGTTTTAAAAATTATAATAAATGTAATAAGAAGAAAAAGTAAGTAAAGCTTGAGATAATCAAATATTTAAAATAAGGGCTGCAATTGAATTCAACAAAATAATTATATTAATAGTTTATTTTGAAGCTTTATTCTTAACGACGAAGCACTTTGGTTGGTTCGACGTTGATTCCGTCCAAATTCCAAAAAACAATAATTCAAACTTGTTTTTTCTTCTCCTCTTCCTTGATTCAACCAAAGAAACCCCGTCAACTTCGGAGATTTTATATAAAAACCAAACCCCTCTTTTTCTGTGATTCTAATATTCTAATTATACACCTTTTCCTATATTCACCCTTTCGCTTTTCATCAAACATTTCATCTACAATATCTCAAATCATTCTCTCTATTCCTTCTCTAACGAACTCCATGTAAGTCTCATACTTTTCGCGCTAATTATTCTCATTTTGATTTCTTGTTTTAATTTTTGTGATTTCGTTGAAAAGGTTGAAAAGGATAGTTCCTGATGATGCAATAGCAGCATCATATTCATATGGCGCAATATGATGATAAATTGAGTCAAACCAAGGAGCATATGCGAAAACTGGAAGAACAAAAAGGTAGAGCAGTTCAAGCGCTTATAGATATTAAAATGGTGGCTGAGAAAACAAATGCAATGGTTGATGAACTGATAGCAACAAAGAGGACCGTTTCTGAGACAGTTTCTTCGGAGACACGGAACAATATTACTGAACATGAAAGGAAATTGTCTGATAAAGATGATTTGTTGGCCGAGTATAGAAGGAAGATTCAAGAATTGGAGGCGGAGTTGGAGAAACGGAGAGAGGCGGAGACGAATTTGTTTGATACGTTGGTGATGCAGACCAAACAGCTTGAGCATAATAAGATGTTGCTGGAGGAGTCGAGGCATGAGATTTCGTCTCTTGAAGAGAAACTCAAGACACTTTCATTAGGCGCCAAGAAAAAGGATGATTCCGAGGAGAAAAATGTAAAGGAACAAGAGATGGCCAAGAGGAAATTGAATGAAAGTCGGGAGGACGAGAGTGTGGAAGAGGAGGGACTATTCGCGTTGGAGGCCAGGAGTTTGGTTGAGGAATTGAATTTGCTTAAAAGCGAGCTGAAAGCAGCAACCAAGGCGGAGGAGAATAGCAAGAAAGCGATGGATGATTTGGCGTTTGCGTTGAAAGAGGTAGCCACAGAAGCTAACCAAGTGAAAGCCGAGCTGACGTTGAGTCAAGTTGAACTGGAGCACACCAAAAGTGAGGCCGAGCGTTGGAAAGTGATGTTGGAAACCACGGAAGACAAGTACAAAGAGCTTCTGGAAGTGACGAGGAAAGAAGGTGATAGGTTTAAAAACACTGCGGAGAGGTTGAGATTAGAAGCTGAAGAATCCCTTCTGGCGTGGAATGGGAAAGAAACTGAGTTTGTGACTTGTATCAAAAGAGCGGAAGAGGAACGGTTGCTTACACAGGAAGAAACATCAAGAGTGGTTGAATTGCTTAAAGAAGCTGAGGGTAAGACAAAGATTTCTAAAGAAGAGAATCAAAAACTGCGCGATATACTAAAACAAGCTTTAAATGAAGCTAATGTTGCAAAAGAAGCTGCTGAGATTGCGAAAGCTGAAAATGGTAGACTAAAAGATAGTCTCAATTTGCTTGTTCATGAGAATGAGATGTTGAAAATTCATGAAGCTGCGTCATTTGAGAATATCAAAGAGTTGAAAAGATTTCTATCAGAAACATCATCAAAAGAGTTCCGAAACGAAGATATCGAGAAATATTCTGCAGCAAAGGAAGGTATAAAAGCTAAGGAGCATCATAAGGAGCATAAAGAATCAAGAAGTTTAAGCAAAACTTTTAGTCTTAATTTGAAAGACATGATAACAAATAAGCAACCACCCAAAGTGGTGAATAATGAAGAGGTTACTAATAACAAAGAAATTACAGAAGATGATACATTAAGGGGTTCGATATTTGATGAAGTGGATGAGTCATCTGATGAATCACCAAATCATTATGTTGATATGGGAGTTCCAGAAGATTTTGATAATTTAGATGAGTCACATTTTGATGATTATGAAGGTGATAAGAACAATAGGAAAAGAAGAGCATTGCTGAGAAGATTTGGTGATCTTATAAGGAGAAAAAGTACTAATTATCAAAGAAAAGAGGAGGAACATATACAAACGTAATGCAGATTACACAAAGGACTAAAAATAAAATTAGATTGTAATAATGCTGATATTGTTTTAGTTTGTGCATCTGTTTAATGTGTATATTATTTCAAATATTGTACAGTTTGTAGTAGTACACCTATTTTGAGACCTAGTGTTTTTCCATACTCAGTTTCTTGTTTTTGTTTCTATTTATTCTTTTGGCTTGAAGACTGGTGTATATTTTTTTATTTATCAATAGTTGATTAAGTTTTTTTTTTTTGTGTGTGTTTGTTAGAAGAGTGGCGTATAACTTCTCTCAAATTTAGCTGATATGTAAATGGACACCATTCTAATACTGTTGAGTTGAAATTTTGTTGGAATTTGTTTGTGGACTCCATGTTGCAGTTGCTGAAAGACTTTGTTGTTTTCATATTTACAATGTTATTACCAATTATATATAACAAAAAAAATCAAAGAACTTCATGCTGTAATAAACTCAAATCTGAAATAAATTTGCAATCTTGCAAAAACATATAACTACAGAGTTAACTACATGACAATAGCTTCCACTATTCTCAACACTGTACAACTTAAATCAACTGCAATACTGATAATGAAAAAAAGAAATCATAAAGTAATGAAGTTATGCTTTCATAAAAAATGTAACTTACACAGTGTTAAAAGAAACATGAACATACCTTGCTAGAACTCCAAGTGTAGCAAACGAACATGAACAAACGAACAACAGTCACAAAATAAGGGGAAGAACACATTTCTAAAACTGAAGCAACATACCTCGTCTAAAATGCATAGAGAAAACCCGAACAAATAGAAATGAGTAAACCGTAAAAAAACATGAATGTTAGTGCGTGAGACACTTTTAATGCGGAGAAAAATAAAGAATAATAAAAGAAATAAGAATTATATTATTCACTTGAATTATATTGTATAAAATAAAGATACACACTATGACTATTTATATACAATTTTAATTGAGTTTGTGCTTACACAATTTGGATTATATTTAAATATTAAATCTAATCAAATTTAATATAATATTTCAACATATCCTCATAATCCAAGTTGTCGGACCTACGCTAATCATAGTCGATCTGAATTATTCCTAATTTCTTTCTCAAATTCAAGAATCTGTCGATCTTCAATTATTTGGTGAAAATGTCGGTCAATTGTGTTTCACTTGAGCAATGTCTAACTTCAAGTACACATCGATTTACCTTTTCCCTCAAGAAGTGAAACCGAACTTCAATATGTTTACTTCTTCCATGCAGAATTGGATTCTTCGCCAGATTTATGGCTAACTTGTTGTCGATTTGCAACACTAGAGGTTTCTTAACTTCGACCTCCATTTCTTCAAGTACAAATATGATCCAAATTGCTTGACATGCAACATAGGATCCTGCTATATATTCATTTTCACACGATGACAATGTCACCATCGGTTGCTTCTTCGAACACCATGAGATTGGGGCACCGAATACTTGAAAGAAATATCCAATTGTGCTTCTTCGATCTTTCTTATCTCCACACCAATGAACATCTAAAAAATAAGTAATTGTTGCTTCTTTGCCTTCAGAATTTCGTCGAAATAGAATTCCATAGTCTATCGATCCTTTTAAATATCTTAGAATTCTTCTTGCAGCCTTAATGTGTGACTATTGTACCCTAAAATTTACCCTCCCATTTTCTTCAAGATGTCTCCTCATGCTCCTAGGGGTTTCAATTGTTCAATGCTACTTAAGGTTGGACCAGACAAACCCTCTTCTTAAGCAGTTGACCTACAACTAGGGTTTCACTTTTCTCAAGGAAACTTGAGTTTATAATATCTCAAGTAGATTTCATGGTTCCTCATATGTCTTAAGGAATGCTCATACCAAATTTCAAGTCTTGCATCACAAGTTTGTTCAGTCCATTGCTCAGATGACTGAAAATCAACTATATTGGACAAAAAGTCAATTGTGGTCAACATAGAAACAAACCTCATGATTTTTGGTCAATATCAAGATTTTTAAGTCACATTCATCATTTGATCAAGGGTTGATCACGATTCATCAAGAAAATCCAAGATTCATCAAAAGTCAAAAGTTACCAAATTAGAGTTTTCTTAGGGAGAAGTCAACTGAACTTTAACCAAGCATAACTTTCACATACTTCATCAAATTTTTCTCAACCAAAACTCATTTTGAATGAAATTCAATTCTCTACAACTTTGTCTCTCAAAGCTCAAGGCCTAAAAATGCTTCATTTGAGAGATATGAGCCAAAATATTACATGTCATTTTAAAAATCAACAAAAAGACACTTTTTGTCAAAGCAATTTACATCAAGATAAATTCTTCAAATGAAAAAATGATCAACATAGAGATTGTATAGGATATCTTTAGCTTTCTAAAAAGTCCAAGATCACCTTCATATGATTAACATTGAGAGAGTTATGATTGGTGTAAGTTGGGAAATTTTGAAAAAATGCATGAAACCCAAATTTATCAAACTTGAATTTTTGGGCTAATGGGCTTATGTTTCAAGGTCTAGACATGTTTTAGGCCTCATAGTAAACCTTTGAATCTATTCATACACCTCTTTTATTTTTATTCCATTTATTTTGATTTTATTGATTTAAATTCAAAATTAAATTAAATAAAAAATCAAAATTTTCATACAAAGGTCCAAACCCATTCTTCTTGACCTAATTTTCCTCTATATATATTCCTCATTCAGAAAACAAAAGATAACACCAAAACCTTGCAAGAGATCACCTTCCAAAAACTTCAAAAATTGTCAAAGTAGGACAAACTTCAAAACCCTATTTGCAGCCTCTCTCCAAGCAAGCCAGCTATTTCAATCGATCTCTGAGGCATTGTAGGGTAAGAATGGATCAATCTTGATGATCCAAGAAGCCTGAAACTCATAATTATGCATCATTGATTTTCATTCTTGCATGAAATTCATATTTTCATTTTTATCATGCTTTAATCAAAACTAACATTACTAATGTGCTTCTGAGATGTCAATGTACAGGTTTGAACCATCGCATGGCCCCCATAACGATTGAATCATGTATTTCCACGTTTGAACCGATTGATTGTCTTTGCTTTGTATCTCATCATACAGGATGATTTAGGCAAAATCAAGGCCACCATTGAATTCGCAAGGCCCAAATTAGGGGAGAGGGTAGGGCACCTTTGAATCACTAACCCTCTTTGTTTTTGTAGGTTGACAAAAAAGGTCACCGGAGAAGACGACCGAAGCTAGGGCTCCGGTGCCTCCGGTCCAGTCAATTATGTTTATTTTATATTTATTGATTCTTGTCATAGTACCGGATGAAACAGCCACCCCAGTGGCAAAGGCGCACACGTTAAGGCTTTGATACATGAGGGCATGGGTTCGATCCCTGCTGTGATCGGTGGAAATAGAACTGACTGTTTTGGAATGCTGGTTCGCGAAATTTCGCGGTAAGCAAGAGTCGCCACCTTCTTTTATTTTCTCCAACAAGGAAAGGACAAAAGCATAGCAAAATTCCTTTTCGAGATGTTTCTCGGTTCGGGAGGTAGATTATAGAAAGGGAAGGTGTTAGCACCCTTTCTATCCGTGGTTATCCACGGGCTCTTAGGTACTTGCTCACTATGTTTTCAAAAAATGTTTTGCTTTTCTTGTGTTTGTGGGTTTTGAAAAAGTTTTGTTTGAAAACTTCGATTTAACTCTTGTATTTGTCCTCAAGAGTGTATGAAGTGTTTGTTCGAAAACTTTGTTTGAAAGTGTAAGTGCGAAAAGTATTTTTGTTTTGAAAGAGCAAGTATCTAAGAACCTCTACCTACTCAAAAGAAATTAAGCTGTGTAAATATCCTTTAGACAGTACTATCCCACTATTGAGAAGTAGGTAGCACCGTCGTTGGAGTTTTTCGGGTCAATTCGATTATAGGGACATGTGGTCACCAAAGCAATAGTAGGACGCCTTAGCGGTAACCCTAATGTCCTAGATCCTTTTTATCCGAGGCAACCGTTTCGAGGCAACTTGGATCTTTAGATAGGAGAGCGACCTCTAAAACACCCTATACTCAATGACCACGTCGAGGCAACCAAGTGAGGCGTACCCTAAGAGTGGCATGTGCGAGTGTGTCAAGTTTCATGTTAAATTATCTTTGAGCATGTTATGGTGAGCTACGTTTTGATTTTAGTTTTCAGATAAGTCTTGTCATGCATAGCCTAATTAACATACATCTAACAGTTAATAGTTTGCGGGAAAGTAAACTAAGCTATTACAAGGCGTCGGGTATTTACATCGCCAAAAATAAACCCTTGAAAAGTAAATTGCGGAAAATAAATGAAAAGCGATAAAAAGGGTCCTAATTAAAGCTATTACATCCTCAGAGCAATTACATAATAATGATAAAAAATAAGATGCGTGAATAAAGATTGAATTAGAGAAGTCCTAGGGTTTTGACCCTTTTTTGAGAAAGAAAGAGATTTGATTATTTATGAATTAAATTAAATTAAACCTAATTAATTAATTAACAAAAGGAAATATTTTTTAATCTTTTAATGTCTCAAGGAAATAAAAATAAAAAATAATCAAAAGTTAATAAAACCCTAATTCTAATTTATTTTATTTATTGCAAAAAATAGTGAAATTAACCTAATTAAAGAAAAAACTAAATTAATTTGTTAGTATTTATTTACAAAAATAAAGTGAAATTAATTTTAATTAAGAAAAATATTATTTTTTAGTTTTTCTGAGTTTATTATGAAAATAATTAATTTGTGAGTTAATTAAATAATAATGATAATTAATAATTGATAAAATAATAAAATGGAAAAAAATATAAAAGAGGCATAATAAACCAGGGGGTTTGGGCCAGGTTAGGAGGTGTTCTTGGAAATTCTCAGGCCCATTAACTCCAAGCCCTTTTGACTTTCTGGCTCCTCCATGCGCATGGTTGACTGGGAGTATGGTGATCACTCCATCCTGGCCTTCAGATTTGCTTTGCAAGCCACTTGGCGCATGGATGATTGAGGCCTATG